CCGTGACAAGCGAAGAAATCACTCAAATTAACGACGATGGTGTATATTATCTCACTCTTTTAGTATATACTAAAACAACTATTCACCTCAGTGTCGGCTGGGAAAAAAAAAGTTCGAAGAAACTACAGTTCAGAGTTTATTCACTTATGTAGTGAATGTTTTTAAAGTATTTCATCCATGAGGCTAAGCTTGAGGGCTTGCTTCACTTTTTGTTTATTTTTGTTTTCTGTAGGTTTTGCTTTTTTAAGTTCAGTCTTAAAGTTATTATGGCCTGAAATCGCGTTTCTTTTTTTTTGTTATACTTTGCTATTCATCTCGCAGGAGGCGGTGTTGAAAGAAATGGAACGCAAGCACCTGTGTGAGCTTCTTGTTCTAGAGAGTTTGATCAGCGAAGAAAAAGAAAGTGACCTCAGGAAAACCAGCCAACAACTTAGTAAAGAACAGCAGCAAGAACGGCTATTCGAACTGAAGGTTTGTGCGATTAGTTCTTCTAATTTTGTTTTTGTTTTTTTTTCTTCAGCTGGAGAGCTTAATACCTATTCGAGATTGGAGTAGGGAATGTAGTAAATTATGAGGTTGGTTGTAAAGTAAGGAAAAAATGTCAAACACTTGGTAAGATGGGGGTGAAGTAAAATGTGTCAGGCTCAGTCCGATTTTGTGGTCAGCGCAGTGCTAACAAACTGTTTGGTGAGCGAGGCCATGACATGGTACAACATAGCGGTCAAATGTCTGCGCATGTGCGAACGTTGTAGAGGCTGGATGGCTCGCTTTCAGGCTTTTAATAGCAGGTTGCTCACTAGAACTTTAAGCAACCACACAAGTGAATGAGTCCCGGTAATTGAAAACCGAAGACCGTTTTTGATAAAGCTCAAAGCAGAATGGTAAATCTGCAGGGAACCCGTACTAAAATATACTTTATGTGAGAAAAGTCTCGAGTTTTCCTTTTCTCTACTTTTGTTTCCTTTTACAGATTTCTTTAAGCGTTTCAATTTTTTTGCATATTTTGCATGCCGGTGATTACTTCTTATAATAATAATAATAATAATAATAATAATAATAATAATAATAATAATAGGAAGTAGCTCTCTGAACATTGCAAGAACATTTAAACTGGTTACAGCGTAAGAATTTTAATGACATTATGATTTGGCTTTTATGAACAGGATTTTATGAACATTTTAAGTTAAGGATATTTTAAGAACCGAATAGTAGATCATGAACATTTGAAAAAAAAAAAACATCTTAGTATCGGGCCAATTGACACTTTTATCGTTTTATATTGATAATTTATATTGAAGTAGTATTAGAATTTATTATAGTTAACAGTCCTGTCATGCAGATAGGATACGAATTTTCGCCCTATCTTGCTTAGCTCACTAGCATCCAAACGTGTATACTGCATCATAATAATAATAATAATAATAATTTAATATTTATATTGCGCAAATTAACATGTTGATATGATCAAATGCGCATCACAACACTTTTCGGGAGACTTTAAACCGGACTGCATCAGCAGTTTACAAACAATCGAAGGAAACTTATTGAAGATGCCCCCTCCCCCCAGTTCCCGGTAAACAGGCCAGACCACATCGCGGTAATCTCGTGAGTGGGTTCTTTAACGTCCCCTGCCTAACCAAATTAACTAATTACTAGATGCAGGAGACGAGATCTTTTCCTTTGAAATTTTTGGCGGGAAATTGGCGCGCAGCAAACCAAAACTGATCTCCTTGCGCATGCCCTACGTTTGACCGCTGTGCTTTACCAGGCTCATATGTGGCAGAGCGTGCCGTGTGGAGGTAGAGTAAGAGGTATGGTGAATTTAAAGCTTGTTCGTCGAATAAAGGCTTATTCATCGATGGTATTCATAATTCTTTGTATTTCTTTGCCCGACCCTTGGATGAATATCGCGTCAAATTCCAGGAACTGAGAAAACAGTGGCGAGAGTCTGGACCCGAAGAAATGACAGAGACCGTTGACGAACAAGAAGCAATACTACGAGAGGGTGTGGGCTTGAAGCTTGAACTGAGCCGCGAGGAACTGAGGCAGAAGGCTGCAGAGGAAGGAAAGGAACTGGGGCCGGATGACGATGCGGTGTCTCTACTCGCTGCCCTTCAGCAACATCAGGAACAAGAAGCGGAATACTTGCTACGAGATCTCGCTGTGAAGGTAAGAAAAAGAGACCTAAAGGAGACCAGTTTCTATTCCGTATTTTTGAGGCGATTATTGCTAAAGTGGTTTCAACTATCCAGTCTTTGGATGAGACCAAAATAAAAGCTATTGGGCAGTTACTTCGTTTATGCTGCATAAGGTTGTTCTATCTCATAACCCTCTACACCCTCACATCGGTATGCATATTCTCCATACTGTTCTGTATAAATTTCCTAAAGTGCCGGCAAGGAGAATTTGGTTAACAATCAAGAGGTTCTTTAGTTGGTGATGCTTTCCTTTACTCTCCTGACCTTAATGTGTGATTTCAGGGGTGATATTGTAAGGAGAAATTAGATGCTAGTCACTGTAAGGGACTAGTGTCGATGAATGAATGAAATCCTAGTGTATGACCATTCAAATGAAAGGTGCTTAGCAATACTTCTAGTTAGTTCTCTTTCATAATGTTGTAAAAGGTGATAGAAACTTTTACGTCTGTGGATGAAACCCTAGTGTTTGACCATTCAAATGAAAACCACTGTCAAATGCTTTTACTTGGCATTGTTTATTACACTGTACAAGATGTTACTGTGTTGAACTCTATGGAAGAAACCCAACTTTGTGACAATCAGTCAAATACTTTCATGTGAAACTTTTTTTTTTTTTGCAGCACGAGGTACAATAATTTCGAGTTTAAGTCAATAATGTAACGATTCAAGAGTGTCTTGCATGTACTTACTTATTTCATTGTTTTTTTTTCCCAGAATCCCATGGTACTTCAGCAACTTATTTCATTGTTTTTTTTTTCCCAGAATCCCATGGTACTTCAGCAACTTATTTCATTGTTTTTTTTTTCCCAGAATCCCATGGTACTTCAGCAGCTCCAGAGCGTGCACTCGATGGCTTGCAAGGAACGTTGGTACGACAATCTCGCTACCTGTGTCTTGGGTCTGAAGAGGAAACAAGCTCGCCTTACAGCGGAGGAATCTGCAGAAGAGGAACTGGTGGAAGCACTAGAACAGAAATATGACGCCTTGAAGGACAAGCTGCTGACAGAAGCCCTGATGAAGCAAATGGGAGATGCGGAATGGGCGGCACTGTCCGAGAGGGAGAGACAAGCCAAGTTGCTGAAGCTGAAGCTACAAGAGAGGAAGCTGAGGCAGGAGGGAAAATTAGACGAGGCCTCTAGGTAAATGGAACAGGAATTAGACAGTGATTAGAGCGCTGGTAGGGGCTTAGATTCGCGTCCCGATCCAAGAAACACCATGCTTGAGTTCCTGTTGGTGTTTTCACCAGCATCTCAAATTTTATCTTTGCACCCGGCCAAACCCAATACTTCGGTCAACTTTTAATTCGATCTGGGATTTTAGGAAAAGGAGCCATTTGGTGGATTTGACTGTTAAATTTATTCATCGATTTATTTTTGTTTTAGTTGTGTAAATATATTCGAAGAAACCATACCAAGAGTTTTAATTCAAGCCTTTTAAGCGACATGCGCCCCTTGGCTAATTATGCACTCACAGGAAACTCGACTTTGCAAGAAAACTACAGTTGTTTTTTGTTTTCCATTTGGATGCATTTTTCCCTATCGATTCCTTTTCCTTTTTTAAACTTTTGTGTCAAGTTTGACCAAATTGAATGTTTTTGTTTTTACTTTCCAATAACAGGTTACTTGGCGAAGGAATGAAACACGACGCAGCTTTGCGTGCTCTAATGGGCGAATCCAAGTCGCTACAAAAACAGCGTCTGCAGGAAAGACTTGATAGGCTACGTCAGTTGAAACAACAGGGAAGCGAAGTTAATCAAGAAGAAATGGCTGCACTCGAACAAGTAGAAGCTGAGGGAGTTGATGCAGTGGATACCGAAGTATTAAATGATCTGATCAAGGAAACAGTAACGGATGCTGAAGAAGTCACAACAAACACCCTGCTGCATGATCTATCGGTAAAGTTTTCACCTCTCTCCTCTCACATTTAAACTCCCCCCCCTCCGGATACTTTCCTACCCTTCTCCCATTTGATTTCGCCATCTATCACATTTTTTCCGTGCATCTTCTTCCCTTCCATCCGTCTTCCTCTTCCGAATCCTATGCTCTATACTCCCCGTTTCCCTTCTCGTAATTAGCTTTTTCCTTCTTCCTCTTTCATTTTTCCGTTTCCCAGTTTTCAAATTCCTAATTTTCTCCTTCTCTTCTTCTACACTTTTTTCCCAAATACCTTACTTTCCATTCCAATCTTAACCTTCTTCTTTACCCCCCCGCCTTTTCGTTACTACTTCCCTCTCATATTTCCTTTTCCCTTTCTTTTCCCGCCTATTTCCCTCCTTTCCTTTTTTAACCAATTTCCTTCCCCGCTCTACCCTTCTTTTCCTCCTTTTTTTTCTTTTCTTTGCCTTTTGACTTAGCCCTCTAGGTGCTCTCAATTTTTTTGCCCCATCTTCCTTCCATTCTCTCTTTTTCTCTCATATTACTTCTCATTTTCATTTCCTTCTTACGAAGAATCTGCCTCACAGACTCTTGTCAAACTTTCCAAGTCTTCTCCATCGAATTGCAAAGAAATCTGTTTTATTCTCGTATGTGTTATGTTATAGTCTCAATTTGAGGAGGAAAAAGAAGCTCTGCTGCGAGCTCTTCGTCAGCAAGACGTCAGATTCGACAGCGAGAGAAAGCGACAGCTAGAACTGGCAAAACTGAGGCGAGAACAGCGACGACTTAAACAGGAAGACAACTTTGATACAGCCGCTATTCTACTTGGGTTGGCCAAACAGGAACGGGCCGCCAGAGAGGCAAAGTAAGTTATTAGTGTTACGTTAGAGAAGTTTTAAAGTGAGTGCCGGAAAACCACAAATAAAGAAATTACAACTACCAATCAGAACAAAGGTTGACATCATCATTAAGCAATGAGAACTCAACGTAAAAACAGGCAACCTGCTTGAAGCGCGGGAAAACGCAGGTGGCCAAGTGGGGATTGGTTTTAGTTTTGTATCTGATTGATTGACGTGATGGCGCCAGTTTTTTTTGGACCAATCACAGAGCGAAGTAAAGCAAAACCAATGCAATCTCAGATCACTTTCGACGCTCAATTGAAAATGTCTCTTCCCGTGAACAATTTTCACGTTGCCATGTTCCTGCCAATAGAATAGCTCCATCTTTACAACATGAATGAACATAGTACGCATCGTCTGATTGGTCAGTTCAGATATTTATTCATTTATCTATTTATTTATTTACTCAAATTCAATTACACAGATAATCAAAACAAAAACAAGGAGTTAATTATAAATATATACAAGTATAAAAAAAGAGATATCTGAGTAATTAGGCCAGTTTATACAGAATTCTAGGTTCCTTATTTCAAATAAACTGCCTGTGATAAAATGCAAAAAACATGAAAAACTAACATAGACAAATAGCAACAACATAAATAATCAAAAACTATAAAAATTTATCCTTACTTAAGTTAAATCTACTGATATAAAACTGATACACTTTCTTACTAAACAATGATACTCGATCAATTGTCCTAATAGTTTCCAAGTGGATGCTTCATCAGGTTATAGGCGAATTCATGCTGACGTCATTGTTTACATTTTTGCTCATTTGCATACGGCTTTGCGTAAAGAAGGAAGCATGTTAGATACAAATTGACTTCAGGCAGCTAAAGAGCTAGAAAACCTTAGTACATGGTGAAATTTTTAGCTCTTTGGGTGTAATATTCAAGGAGAAATAGTCCATCAAAAACTGCAAAATTTCTGGGTGGCAAAAGCGCTAATGAGCTCATACATTCTATGTAAAATTTTGAGTTTTTAAACCCGTGTTGCACAAAAAGTATTCAATGCATCAGGCTCGTATTCATTGGCCGAGTTAATCGTACTTTGACCTTTCGATATTCAGAACTGATTTATTTTTAGCTCCATCAGAAACTGAATTGCTTATGCTAATGAGGCAAATATTGTAAACAAGGATTCCCCTATAGGATAT